GAATCTTTTGTTGTGAGTTTGCACATAAAAACTGAGCTATATCAATTCACAATAAATCTACTTTCTCACCATGGTTTCCTAAAAAGGCTGAGGAGACGGGGTGAGGACCAGAAGAACGAAACCTCATAGCTTATCTCCAAAACAATGATTCCCCAAAGGCCCCAGCGGCTGCAGGTACCGCTGAATTTAATCCAGAAAATATCATTTATATGAGGAAAATGACAGTTCAAAAGACCCCTTTGGAATAACCAAGGGGTTATTCCAAAGTTCATCCTAAGATAAAACAACAGAGGACAGACATGGAACTGGAAGAGAAGAATTCAAGATTTGAACAATTCTGTATTAGACACCTGAATACATTAAAATCCCAACCACACAAATCCTGAATGTTTTAAAGTTAAAAAAAAACCCCAACAAACCCAAACAAACCAAAAGATCTGATCACCAAACTAAAAATCCCAAAAATTATTTCAAAAGAGCGAATAATAATAATTATTAATGTTCTTTAAAGGAAACTTTTTGCACAGAGCAGCAAGAAGAGAAGAAAATTTTCAAAAAAGCAAAAAAAACAAGTGGAGAAACTTAAGATTGCATTCACTTCCTGAAGTTACAGCGCTTTTAAATGTACATATAACAGTAGAATCCTCTTCAGGACAACTCCCCTAAAACATCGGTAAATATTTTATATCTTATATCTTTATATCAATTCTCTCATAAAATAAACAGGGCCACACTGATCCAAGGTATATTTTTGCCTTGCAAGGTGTTGTTCTGGTATAGCAATTAAAGAGAAATCATCACAGCCCTACCTGAGATATGGACTAGTAAAAAACCTTGGCATAGACATAAATTACTCGGCTGCTCATTAGGATTTAAATTATAAACCACTAAGATACATTCAAATTTGAGGGTTTTTTAATGAGCTGGAATGAGGCCTGGTACAAATGAATACACATCACAGACAATTAACAATTTGTATTACCAACTTTGCTGAAATAACTGAACTCTGCAATTGAAGGCAACGCGATTCTTTCTAATCCAGCCATCTCAATTCATTTGGAGAGTTTAAAAAGGCCATCCAAGACCGATATTACTGATTACCCACACACAATGTCACGAATTCCACTAAGACCAAGGATTGCACACAACTCCCCTCCACACCCCAGCCTAGTTTTCATTTCCAAACTATTTTAGTTTCTTTGATAAATAAGGAGCTTTTCTAATTTGACCTTGTAACACTGCACACTGACAGTGTCCTTTGATTCTTTTACCATGCCCGAAACTACCAATAAGGCAACTGGATTCTAAATCTATCACTAAACCAACATAATACAAATAGAGGAAACAAATTAGAATTGGAGTAGGCTTGCCTACAAATATTTTTAATTGAAAAATTAAATTTTAAATGCAATTTGAAAATTGATTCCTATAGGACTCTGCTCGGTGAAAAAGCAACCACTCTAACAAACCAAGCATATAAACAGTGTATCATTATTTATACAAATTAATCAATGGTGACATAATACGAAAAGTCAATAAAAATATAAGTATTATGAAACAAGAGAAATATTATTTTCACTCAGCCATCACAGCCCAAAAGTCATAAAGTAAAGTGGCATTAATCACCATCTGAAAATATTTCTAGTCTTTAAAATTTTAATCAAAATGCCTCTGAACCCAGACTAGCATTTTGTTACAGATTCGGTACAGATTTGGTACTGGTTTAGCCTTTTTTTTTTTTTTTTGCTCAATAAACATAAATACATGTTCATATATCAAATTTTAAACTAATGATGGAACATTTTCACAGGGAATTGCAGTTTTCTTTCAAAAAAAAGAAATTGAAGCTCTCTTCAATGGGAATCTCCCCGGCGACATTGCATTAGACCGGCGGCATTGCATTAGCTTTGCGTTAGACCTCACAAATGCTCCTCACAACTAAAATGTCAATCTTTGACCTCAAGATTCACCGGAAGAGTCCCAAATGCTTCTTCCACCACCTTCTGCTGATACTTGACAAATCTGTTTTGTTCCAATTCAGATGCACTCAGTTAAATATTCAGCAATTCATTAGAGCCAGAAGAAAAACTCTTTTCTATTGGGCTCGCAAAGTTTTCTGATCTCTCTTCGCTTAACTGGGGATGTTGTTGAACACACACACTGCACAAGTACAACATCTTATGTCTTTCAGCTCCAAATAAATTATAAAGGCCTATCAGCCTTCTCTGACTTCACCCAAGATGAAAGAAATATTTAATCTTTAGCCCATGAAAACATCTCAAACCCTGACTCCTGCCTCTCAAGGCAGTTTCTCCTGCCTTGAGAAAAAGCCACTGAGGAGATGTTACCTCAGTGGAGTAACTCATTACTCATCACTCCATCAGTTTCAAACACTCCCAAGTCCAAGCTATGATGGTACAGTAACAAATCTCTGTGGTTTAGGTTAAGACGCATTTTCTTAGATCATGAAGAGACTGAGTGCTCACTCCCTTCCTGATTAACTCCGGAGGCAAAGGAAACTCAGGCAGAAAGTTAAATGCCATACAGTATTTCTATAGTTTTATATTTCTGCAGCCTTTAGCCCCCAAGTAGTTTGGGAGGAGTTTTTTTAGTTTATTTTTACTGTGTGTGTCTTTGTGGGTTTGGTTTTTTACTTTATTTTAGTTTAGTTACAGATTTGTACTGGGTATTTTTCAAATTCTTTCACATTTAGGTATCTTTTGTGGTATTGTCCATTTCTTAGCCAATAGTTTCCTTTCATAAAAAAAAAAAATTCCCATAGCCTAATACACATAAGACTTGAATTATGCCTATACACCTTAGAATCTGACAGTTTGGAATTGTGGACTTGATAGTATTTTCGCCTGTGATTTTAATTCCACAAGCAAATCTCTCTGTGTACTTCACTTCACAAATGCTGCAATTCCATACAGCTTAGTCCAATAGAAGCAGATATTCACAACCCAAACTGACATAGGGACAGGCCAGAGCTTGGGCTAGAAACACAGCCTTGAGGGCAAATTCATTAAAGATCCCAGGCACAAAGAGAAATAAGGCTTTAATTGAAGAGTAACCACAAGAGACTCACTAGCATCACTCTCAATCCACTGCTGAATCATACGAGGATTATTAATGATTATTTACTGAATATACATCACCCTTGCAAAGACAATGCTTGCTATACTTGACCCAGAACTATGTTTTTAAAAAAATTCCCTCTTTTTTTTCCATGGGGGGTGGTGGGAGTCACACCAGCTGCTAGGAAGCACCTCATCCATCCAAAATCCCGAGGATCTATTAGGTGACGTTCAGACCATAATTTTTATGCTGAGGTAATTGTACATGCTTCTGGACACTGATAATATCGAGGTTAATATTCCTTTTGGATGCTAAAGGAACTTTCTTTTCTAATTCTTCCTCTTTCTGTACAGAAAGAGAGAAAAGCCAAGAGGCTTGGTGTCCTTACCCTGGTGGATTGAGGTCTGCAGGCAGAATCAGGCACTCCGTGCGTCACTGCCACACACCAAACCCCTTCAGGACGTTTTGGCCAAGCACTGAATTTCACTACTTAGTAGTGAGGGATCAGCTCTCAAAAATTCCCTTGTCAGCAATATCTTGATTAACAACTAGTTCTTATATAAAATATGTCAGCAATTAGTTAGGGAAGGCAAGGGATGTCACGCACAAATCGGTTGGAAGAAATAAATGTTGACGGAGGATCAAATTGTCCATGCAACTTCTTCCCAAAAGCTGGTCATCATGGGTCTTAATTCTGATCCAGCCCCCTAATCCCTTCTGGATCTTTAATAACTAGTATTTACAAAATAAATATTGAGGTTGAAGGAAGATTTATGCTTGGAGCAAGGATTTACTCTACTTGTCAAACTCTTAGGGTACGCTAACAGCAAGTTTTCTATCAGCACAGCTCTGCTAAGAGCTGAAAAGATCCTTCTCATTTATATTCAGCAATAAAAAATCTCAAACTAAACCAGCAAACCTAAGCCAAAGGAAGGCATCGAGGTTTTAAACACAACCTAATACAAGGGTAAAATGAACATTTCCAGCAAAGAGAAAGAGGAAAAATGTAATTCTATGACCTTGAAATAGGTATTATTTTTATTGGTAATTAGTCCTTTACAAATATTTTTCAATAGATAAGATTTTTTGAAGAATGAATTTTTAAGTTGCAGTTTCATCACCTCATTTCTCTTGACACATTATGTGTCACCATTGGAAGTATGGCCTTATGGGAAGAACAGAAATCTGGAAAACTGCCTGCTTCACCAGAAAAAGGAATGTTTAAAAATATTTTTTAAAATCTGGAATGTATTCTAAGAATACTGCTTTTACTTTTAATGTGGATTTTTAAACACCCACATTAGACCAGTCCGCTTGTGAAATTTTATAATGCCCATGGTCAAGACCCGATTGCTATTGTGCTGCCTGTGCAGGGCAGAGCCGTTTGTGCGTATTTATTTGTGGTGTCGGCAAAATCTTTACAAGTATTTTCCCATCTTTGCTGTTAAGAAATAACCTACGTTCTTTCAAAGAAAAAGAAAATTTAGGGTAGAAAAACTATGCATCTATAGATTTTTTTTCCTTTTCAGAATATTTCTATTAATTTCTTTGTACTCACACAGACATATTAAAAAAACACTGGAGGTTTCAATGTGCATAAGATGAAGGACGATTTCTACAGGACTTCTTAGCACTGATATATTGGCTCCAATGCACACCCCGGATTGGGCTGAACCCCACCACTACACACTGAGAGTAACTAAAAAGTGATAATAACTAACTGATAGCTGCTAGTTACTGATAGTAACTAACAACGATCGCAGCGCTGGCAAACCCAGGGAGTGGGGATGGAGTGTGAAAGCCGGGCTTCGTTCCGGCAGGGTTGGGGGGACGCAGTGGGAGATGCAGGAGGCGCTCGTCCGAGACCCCCGGCTCCGCGCCCGCCGCATCCCCGCTGCGGGCACCGCTGGCGTCACGCTTACCGGCGCAGGAGTGCAGCGGCTTGGGCCGGACCAGGAGCGACGGGCAGACGGAGTACAGGGAAAGTTTCTCGAAGTAGTCGCAGGTCTCCTTGGAGAGGATCTCGTCGATCATGAAGGTCTTGTAGCGCCTCCTGCCTGCCTTGGGCCGGCCGGCCGCGGGCAGCCGCGCCGGGGGCTGCGGGCAGGGCTGGGGCTGGGGCTGGCCGTGCATGGCGGGACCCCTGCGGGGCGGCCAGAGCCGCGCCCGGCTCGCATGGGCGCCCGGCTCGCCGAGCCTGTCCCCGAGCCTGTCCCCGCTGTGTCCACGCTGTCCCCGCCGCTTGGGCCGCGCTGCGCGGCGCCGGCTCCCCGCTATATAAAGCCGCCGATAAGCATCTCTCCCATCGCTCCGCGGCCTTTTTAGGAGGCTCGGGCTGTCAATCAGGGCGCCCGCTGCTCCCCGCCAGCACCATTGTTACCCTGCGCCGCGCTGGGAGGATCCGCCGCTCCTCTCCCCTCCCTGCTCGCTATTTTAAGATACTGGGGTGTGTGGCGTTTTTTTTTTTTTTTTTTTCTTTTTTTTTCTCTCTCTTTTTTTTTTCTTTTTCTTTTTCTTTTTTTTTTTTTTTTTTTTTTCTTCTCCCCCCTCCTCCTCTTCTCTGGCCTGTAATTATCTACAAAAGTTAAAACGCGGTCTGCCGGAGGAGAATGCCGCCTCCCCGGCCGCGACAGCTTTCCCCGACCGGCGTCAAACCTATTCCCGAGCCTCCAAGTGCTGGAGAGTGGCAGAGGGGAAAAAAAACCTGTGTATAGTTGCCTTGCCTAGGAGCACTGTGTAGCAGTTATTTTTCTCTGGAGCGGCGTTACTTGGACCCCACGTCTGAGGTTATTTTCTGGCGGATCCCTGCTTAGTTCAGCTGGAATTTTGCAAAGCTGAGCTTTCAGCCCCTTCTGCTGAGGGGTGTTGCGGCTTCGTCACTGGAAATTTTCCTACCAGGCTGTGGGCTGAATTCTGTTTCTCCGTGGTCTGCGAGAGGAATCACCAGGACACCCTACTTATGGAAAGGTGTATCAGGAGGAATCCTCTGGATTAACTGATTGCTGCAGGTTTTGCAGAATGCCCAGCCAGCTCACTAACTTTAAATGGGTAAAGAGAGGCTCATTATGGAGATTTACCACTCTCTAAAAAATATTACTTGCAGGTTTCGCACAAGGATTTAAATGTAATCTGCAAAAGGTTATCAGACATCCTTCGGTTCTCATGCTTTGGCAATCCAAATGACAGCAAACTTATTCTAATAACAGAAAACTCAATCTGCTTTTGCAAAAGCCAACAACCATTTCAAACTCTCATCAATGATTTCAACCACTTTTATTTTTTCAACTGTTTTTTTTTTAAATCCTTCAAAACACTGTAAACTATCTTTAACCTCTTTTGTAAAAGCACTACTTCTTTTTTCAATTCAAAGTTTCATTTAACTTCAGCAATACAGTTGTTCATTTATAGAGACTCAAAATCAAAATAAGACCCTTGCATTGTCCACACACTGAACTGGAAGGCAGATGCAAGAATATATCAGGCTTTCGATACAGCCGTTGAAATTTTTTTCTTAAAACCTCATTACTTTTTTTTTTTCAAATATAACACAGCAAATTATAATGAAATAAATGTAAAGCAAAGTGTTTTGCTAATTTTAAACCATTGGGATGACATTCTCATTTAAAATAAATTGTTTGGAAATGGTTTTATTTCTTTTTATTTTGAGAAACTAAAGTGATCTTCCGATGAGGAATTTCCCTAGAATGATAACAACTTAGGAGTTCAAGAACTTCTCGCCTCCACGACATTATAACTCTTTCTAACTTACTTAAACTGCTGCTTTAATTCCTAAACAAACTATGGCTATTTAAGCAGATGGACTGATTTTGTTATGACTGTAGTTTTTTGAGTATTCACCTCTTCATTCAGACATACACCACTTCAGGAGCATATTTTCTTCCTCTTTTTCAGACACTTTCTTTTTTTGTAGGAAACAAAGTAAGTACCAGCAACATTTACTTCAGCAATTAATACGTGCTGATAATTATTGCATAGAATATTTTGGAAGCAACACTGAGCAAGCCACTGATTTAAGCCCCAAAGCAGCAGCAAATGGCATTTTACTACTTATGTTTCCTCGGGGTCCGGCCAGGAGCTGCAGCCCACCCTACCCCCACTTCAAATTTATCCTGCTTTTCTTTACTTTGAAAAACCTGATACAACAGAGCAGACGAATGTTTCCTGAAGAGTATTGCAGGAGCTTGACTAGATCCAGCCCAGAAATCAAGAGGAGAAGCAAACCGCGGGCTTCCCAAGCTCACGGGACAAGAGGAGAAGCAAACCGCGGGCTTCCCAAGCTCACGGGACAAGAGACTCTGCTTGTCTTTAAATGTTTCTTTCTCACATCTGAAGGGCTGAATATCCAGACGTGTGTGGCTCGCACCTCTGTCCATATTCTAGAAATGTGATGCCCTCACCTGAGCCCAGGCAGATGAACTGGCAGGTGGGATTAGCCCACACTAACCCATCTCTAGACACTGAATTTCTTTTTATTAATGGTTTTTTAAAAGTAAGTGGCTAGAGCAATACGGTGGGTTATGTCAGATGAAACACACACTGTCTGTCAATCAAAAAGGGGGTGCTTTGGTCAGGAATAACCAGGGGTTTTGTTTCCAAAATTAATGAAGTGGCTGGAATAGCAAACATCTGCCAAGGGGACTCAAACCCCGAGCAGCTGTTGGAGCCCCAGGACTCTTCCCATGTAGGACAGCCTTGCTGATAAGTGCTTCTCCCTGAGGTTTCTCTTGTGGCTGGGAGCTGGGACCAGACGGGAGGCTGGGAAGTGAAAGGCGCATTTGGGAAGGTCTGGAGGGCAGGAGATTTGACACAGTCTGTGTGCCCCAGGCTGGCACCTGCACGCCACAAATGGCAGCTGGGTGGCCAGGGACCAGGATTTCTGCCCTTTTCCAAAAGGGAATTAATCCAAGGGACACAATACTCCATTTTACCGAGTAAAGCATTTTTGAAATCAGAATTGAGGAAAATAGAACTGCTGTGAGTCTGTCAGTCAGTAACAAGTAATTTCTAAGGAAAAGCAGGGAGGTCAGCCCAGCACCAGAGAGCTGGAAATAGATTGTCCATGAGGGCAATTGTGTTCAATCAGAAGAGATATGGAAGCACCCTCTTTAAACTTGGGTTTCTGAAGACAACTAGTTTTAATTTGGAGTCAATTTGTGCTACCAGGCCTTTTGTGTGCAATGCCAGAGCCCCCAATGTGCAGTGCCCCTTGGGAAAATGATTAAGCACCTTTGAGTTGACTTGTTAGTCCCAGCACAAACATTACCATGAGAGACAGTGATTAAGGGAAGAGGAATTAAGTTGCTGCTGTATTGCTAAATTTGTGATGTAGGTAGTACCCAAGTGCTCCTCTTAGGGCAGAGTCAGCTGATTGTGATCACTTTGCTGCTGCATTTGTACATTGCCGAGCACACTAGAATTGTTTGCCCAAAGAGAAGAATTCTATCTGTTGGGCTTTCAGCTTCCAGTTTCCACAAGAATTTAAAATGCAAACCTATTTTGACAGAATGGGCAGGATGAACTAAAGTGCCAAAGTCTGAGAGTGCCTTGGCTCTTAGTCTGAATTCCTGTTTCTATATCGAAAGGGCAAAGATACCTTTCACAAGCCCCTGGCATTACCATTTTTAATCACTAGAAAGTCCCTTTTTCAGTGAAATGCAATCACCTTTGAAAACAGATCTGTACAGACATAATCAATCCTGCTAAACACCAACACTCTAATCTCAAGTGTATGCCTTTTTCAGCATGATATTGGGCTTGATACTTGATCCAGTATAGAAAAATCAAATGTGTGGCTAGAAAGAAGAAGGCATAATATGGGCCAATGCTTTGCTCCAGGGAATCCAGAGGCTTTGTCCTCTCAGCATAAAGGTCTCAGTGCATAAAAATCTCTTTGAATAAAAAATCTCAGCATCTGCCTGACATAAATAAAGTTTCTAGTATCTGCCCCATTCCAGAGAAAAGGGCATTGCTCAAGAAGATTTTTTTAAGACAGTGAGAGTGTAAAACATCCAACACATGCACATAGAAGGAAAACCCACCTGATGGGTGGCTAAGTGAGCCCCCAGTTCTGTGCCTTCCCCTGACAGAAATGCTCACTGAGAGAAAGATGCCTCTGAGCAGGGTCTCCTCCCCGCCTCCTGGAAAGCCTTGCAAAGGCAGAGGAAAAGAGGAAAAGAAATTAAAGTGTTTGTTGATCCTGAACTTCACCTTGGCCCCTTTCCTCTGAGGAGCCGAGGAAACAGAAATTGCAGAGCAGCAACTGCACAAGCTCACACAGCCCCATCACCTTTAGGGGGGCTCTTTGCTCCCAGCTTATCTTTACAACCAAATTTCACTCCTGGCCTAAGTGACTATGGAATATGACTGCTCCAAGTCCAGCAGTCTCATTAGAATTTTTATTTTCAGTTGCCAAAGCTATGGAGCCTGTCTCAAATCCTCAATTACATTATTTCCCCTGTCACCTAAAATCTGTCTGCAGCCTCTTTGAGTGTCATCAGGCCTCACTGTGAGTCGAACTGATTCCCCTCTTACTTCCTATTCCCCCACTGTGATGCTGCAGCATTTGTGTGGTTACAAACCATTGCTGGCTCCAGTTTTGTCCCCTAATGGACAGCCCTGGGCTTAGGGCAGCAACACTACAAAGGTGTCCTTGACATGCTCAGAATAAACCAAAGCTTGAGTTACTTTCTTCAATAAAATTATACTGAAAGCTGAACTATCTATTGGGACACCTTTGTTTTATTTCCTGCTCTGCCTCAAGCCCTAAACCTAATCTCCCTTGCCTAGAGCCAACTTTGAATCATCTAGAAATAGAGTATAAGGGTATTCATCATGTGACTGGAGCCACTGGCCAGTCCCCAAATTAGTTAAGATGCTCTGATTTAAAGTAATAGTACAGCTAATAGCCATTTTTATCAGTGCTGATAGTGGGCTTAGAACACACAAGCTGTAAAGTTCATGGCACATTCGCAAAATCTCTTAAAAAGGAGACCTAGATATGGCCTCAGATTTACGTGCAGAGAAACTGAGGCAAAGTTTTCCTCTGTTAATGCTTGGGACAGAAGCCAGATCTCACTAACCATCATGTCCTCTCCAGGCAGAGCAGAATCTAA